GTAACGCCTTGATGGATAATGCATCTATCCATTGTCCCAGTCTGGCAGCGTCGCGGAATAAATGCGAGGCAATGTCTGTACCAACCAACGGAGCTAGCGCGAGCAGTAATCAATTTACATTGTAGCATTGCATGAATCTGAGATATTATAATGGGGACATGTTCAGTGCATAATGCAGTCCTTTTGAGCTACCTGCATGATAGTTTACCAGAATAATCAGTCATGTACAAGTTAGACTTGCACTGTATTTTTGTACTTATAGCTAAGTAAATAGGTTTCTGTTTTTTTTTTTTTATAATTATATTTGTCGTGTCCAACAAATCGTCATAGTCGTAGAATACCGACGGATCTATATAGGTAATATTCGTTAGATCCGTCAGTATTCTACGACTATGAAGAAATGTTTTACTGAGTTCGAAAGTCTTCTTCAGAGTGTGTACGTTGCTTACTTTGCAGCAAACACATTCCCGATGTTGCAAATACAAAATAATAGATGGCGCTGCATAGAATTAGAACGCGATATATTATTTCATGCTTCATATAAATATCATTATTTGGGACTAAGATTTCTTTACCAACCTAACCTAACCTGATATTAAATATCTTATAAATTTTTGTAGATTCTGATAATGAAATTGTCAGAATCGTAATCATGTTTTGAAATTCATAATGCAATTTGTTTCTATTGTATCGAATTGTCATTGCCACACAAATTTTGTTATTAATTCATTAAAAAAATGTTAATGAATTAATATTTTTTTTGTAGGTACTACACATATTAAAATTACAAATATTTAAAATTTTTTTATACAACTTAGAATGGCAAACAAGCTGACGGAAAGTGGTAACCGTCGCCTATAGACATGAGCAGTACCATAGACATAACAGAGTATACTGTTTCGCCCATGATACCCCCCCATGCGTTTCCATTCCTGAGGACTCAGGTGTTATTTCTCTTTACCCAGTAAATTCACGCCATATCCCATCCTTCAAACCGAAACACAGCCATGCAAACACAACTGCTTCACGGTTGAAACACGAATATATATATATATATATATATATATATATATATATATATATATATATATATATATATTATTATATATATTATTAACAATTAAACTCAACATAATTATTATCAAGGTATACTTATGTCTCACAAAAAAAAAAACTAATCCGAACTACACTGATAAGCGATAAGTAATTTTCAACCTCCTTCAAAATTCTCAATTCGGTTGTATTTTTTTTATGTTTGTTACCTCATTTCGTCATAGTCGCAGAATACTGACAGATCTTTATATGTAATACTATGTACTATGACGATATATTTGTCAGTTGTAAATCTATTTGAAAATCTCTTTTTTTATCTAAAAGAATATACTTATCTCTAAGTAGAGTTCCTTAAAAAATTTTAAATCATATTTTGATTTTGGCGAGAATGGTTTTGTCACAATTGAAGTCTTTTTTATTTTGCTACACAATCGTTACGTAAATTACATACTAGCAACATTGTAAATATTGCGTGTTTGCGTATAAATTATGTTTTGAATAAACAGTATTTTGCTCCGCAATAAACGACATTGTCAGTTGTCACAAAATCAAAATGTGACCAATACGGAAATAAACCCTGCCAATTGCAAAAGAATAGTGGAAATCAGCTCAAAATTTATAACGTAATCTCGTTACATGTTTGCAAAAAAATCAGTTGAATTCTACGTAATTTACGTAAGATGTCACATAAAAGGGAAAACCATGCCAAGTAAATGATTTAAAAAAATAAAAAAAAAAAACATTGCAATTGGTTCATCAATTTGGAAGATACCATACCATAGACAAACATAAGTTTCTAACTTCAAACAAAACATGAAACGAGTAATACAAGTACATGAAACAAGTAGTTACAATAAAAAATACACTATCATAAAAGAGCAGTGAAGAAAAGTAAATCAAATTCCCCAGAACTACATCAACATCGAGCTAGCCACACTGAGGTATGATACCAGTATACCAGGGCTAGTTGCCCCTGATATTAAAGTTGGGGCAAAGGGACTTGCCCCAAAGCTCTCACCTTACCCCTCTTATTTAGGGAGTTGAGAAGATGTAGATCAGTAATTAAAACTCGACACCTACTGTCTGCATGTCACACAAGTAACTTGGCATTAAAACAAATATATAAAACATTTTCCTTTTTCGTGAAAACGGCCAAACGTAAATCCATCTGAGACGATCCACAGACAATTACGGTATATCGGACGAGGCGAGGCGACACGTATAGACAATGGGGCACGCGGTGATTTGGCCGCGAGCCACACGGAGGGGACGATGAGCCGATTTGGGGAACGCCGTGACATGAAACCCAATTGACGGTTCACCTTACCACGTCAAACTGAGGCGGAATGTATCTTTTTTTTTCGATTTATATATAACCAGTATCGTTTATTAGTTAAAAACAGAAAACATTACAAAAGTACTAGTCGCATGCCTTAGCCTCACACATATTTTTAGGTGCAAAAAAATGGAACTTAAAAATAATATAATCTATTTTTTTTTATGCAACTTAGCAAAAAAATCTATTAAAAAATTACTAAATTCTAACTGTGGATGCCAACCCGCTTGCCAAGCGTGGCAACTACTGGCAATAGTACCTTTTATGGGAGAGGTCTATGTTCAGCAGTGGACAGTTGCTGGCTGATATGATGATGATGAATCTATTAGAAATATCTTTGAATTTAGAACGGTTGCCAGAATACCGTTGCATCGTAATCCAAGCCTTAATTATTGAATCCTGGTGGAAGCCAAAAAACAAGTTAATTTTAAATTTAATAAAGTACAAAAGATTGTAATAATAATAAATAACTTTTATTCAAGTAGACATAATAATAACCATTTTTGAATAGTTATTTTTGTCATTGTATAAGCGAATTGTGACAATTTCTATATATTATCTAGTTTCTACTGTAACACCTTTCAAAATAAATTAGACATATTACTAATAATCTCCATCATTTCTATCATGATGTAGTTGTATTTGCATGGCTGTGTCTCTTTTTAAAGGATATGACAGGGTACTGAGGGCCTACCATGAAATGTTTTCCGAAATTTCGGAGCCAAACGAAACACAAATTTGATGTTAAAATTACATAATACATGCCGTTTGGAGATATTAAAAATGTTACAATATTGTTCCTTTGGACTTTTATTGATCGGATTTTGGTATAAACAAAAACATGAAAATGAGTCCGAAATTTCGGAATTTCATTTCATGGTAGACCAGCTGTTCAGTTTACTTGTTCGCAGTGCCTAATCTGACAACTTTTTTTTTAATAGATGATGATGGAATGGGAACCTCTCCTGCATTATTGATATATACTCACGGAGCACCAGTTACAAATAATAGGTGAGGATCAAACAGGTAAATAAGCCCACAGTGACGAATTCATAATTAACCAAGATTACCAGGGAGAAACGCGTAGAAGTCGACGCGACGAGGTAATAAGTAGCAATACTACCAATGACATTTATACCTATTATTAAGAAACCCCTTTTGTAACGTGGCGGAGTTGCTATTTTTTTTTCGATCTGTTCTTGCTATTTCTCACGTATGTGAGATTTGCACGTTCGTCCATCAATGCCTAGTTGTGGCCAAGGCTTGTATAGTACTTTTCTCAAACAATGCGCCGAAATCAAAAACACAATTTTACTTTTTAAGTTCAATGACGAATAACGAACAATAATATTTTTGCACGCGCTATAATGTTCCTTTGTTCTTTTTTTTTTTAATAAACAGCTTTCCATTTGCAAGCCAGTTCGAAATTTAAATAAAACCTTTTATAGTTATATATATGTATATAAATATTCCATTTTTATATTATATATATAGTATATATAGTATATATATGGCCGCAAAACACGACAGATATGGATTTTCATACAACTTTTACCGGCCGCTGCCCGCATATATTTGGCCAGTACGGCAATTTCGATTTATCTCGAAGAAGATTCTCAAAATAATGCTCACATTTCCAAGCATGTTTGAGAAAAAGTTCTTTTGCCTATTTTCTTTTAAATTACAAAATTTTAGGACCTAACTAAAATGTTTTTTGACAGCTATTCATTAAATTGTGAAAGTGGCCCGTGACTACAAAAAATTTAAAAAACCCTATGTTAGTCATATAATGTAATATCATCGTATATGTTAACAGAGATTTGAAAGAGTAACTGTTGAATTTCTAACGGGCTTCCGCAGGGTTCCGATCGTTTTTATTTTTATTTTTTTTTTTACAACACAGGGGGCAAACGAGCATACAGCTCACCTAATGGTAAGTGACTACCACCGCCCATTGTCACCCACAACACCAAAGGCATTGCAGGTGTATTGGCGGCGTTTTAAAAAGAAATATGCTCTTTTCTTGAAGGTTATGATGTCGTATCGGTTGGGAAATACTGCTGCTGGAAGTTGATTCCAGAGTGGTTGTGCGTGGAAGAGAGTGCCTTGAAAAACGCACGGTGGAAGACCGCCACTCGTCCAGATGGTTAGGATGAAACTTTAGTTTATGGCGGGTTGTACATTGTATGTTTATATTGGTCTGATGATTTATATTAACAACAGAACACGCTTTAAAAAAAATAATGCAGTTTTACTCTATTTGGAACATCAAGGAGTATTATGTCCAATTATATTAATTCGCTGTATGGTCCAGGCATAGAATGGGCCACTTCTTTCTTTCCTGTGGCTGTCGTCTACGTTGACTAAGGGAACTTAATGGTCGAGATATAGGCAGCATCGTTCCTCTTAAAGCCTAACTAAGATTGCCAAATCACTTGTCAAGCGTAGATATTAAAATCTCCAAATAGGTGAAAACTATATTCAGCATTTTTAACGCTGAAAATAATATTCCAATATTATTTTTTTTAAATTTTGTTTCGCTTTTGAGATTCCGAACATTTTCGTGATAGGTAGGTCGAAGGCATAATGGATAAAACAAAACTATGATCAGAACAGTAATAAAATACATTTTATTTATTTCAATACGTCTACATAATATACTATAATTAATAACAAAAAGTTTTAATAACATAATTTCAATAAATTATTTATTATTAAGGAATGTTCCTTACGACCATGTGGCGAGAAATTTGTCCCATTCGCGTTTCAACCGTGAAGCAGTTACGAAAACATGTCTACGGTGGCTGGACTGATAATGAATTTACACTTCCTTAGAGAGGTTTATTTTGAAACGAAGTCTGGCAATACTTAGCATCATTCAAATTATATGTGCACAAAAATAAAAATAAAAATGTGACATGAAATTTATTTCCGCTATGTGAGTCGTGAGAGGAAATCTTTAGGTTTTTTTTTATACAACTTAGAATGGCAAACAAGCTGACGGCCCACCTGATGGAAAGTGGTAACCGTCGCCTATAGACATGAGCAGTACCATAGACATAACAGAGTATACTGTTACGCCCATGATACCCACCATGCGTTGCCATTCCTGAGGACTCAGGCGTTATTCCTCTGTACCCAGTAAATTCACGCCATATCCCACCCTTCAAACCGAAACACAGCCATGCAAACACAGCTGCTTCACGGTTGAAACACGAATAGAACAGAGGTACCCAAGCAATCGACTTTTGTACAAAGTCTCCCTCCATATTTGAATTTAAATTTATAATAAAATGACAAAGTTGTAAAAAATAAACATTAAGAAATCGATCTTCGATTTTTTTGTGAATCGATTTACCAAATTACGATATCGAACCGATTAAAAAATCGATCTTTTACGGTAAGAATCGCCAAACCTAATTCTGAAGTACACCAATTTACAACCATTTAACGAATGTGTTTCAGACTCCAACAACCTGTCTATTTGCAGTTTACATTTCCATCAAGTTCTATTAAAACTATGTATATATTCACGCCAGGTACACTGAGGTGTAAACAGAGACACTTATAAATTAGACATAACCAGATTCCTCTCAGTGGTAGTGAAGTGTAGGACTGCTGCTATTGCGTTCAGCATGTGTTTACGACCAGCGTAGTCTGTAGACATTAGATATGCCATCACCACGTTTTTGAGATATTCGAGATTTGCACCTTCGCGGGACTGGATTCTTCTTAGTCTGAAACAACAATTTACATTTGCACCGTAGATTGTTTTTTTTTTTTTTTAAACACAGGGTGTATGGTATGGAATATGGTAGGTCACGAATGATGGCAAGAAAACGATGACTCTTACAATTGGATTTTATTTTACGTTTTAAATAGTTAATTACAGGTAATAAATAAATAGACGTGTGGTGTCGATCGTATCTAGGTGCAGACTGGGCGTGGCGTCCGTTGCGCCGATTATAAGTTTAAAAACGACTGCACGCAGAGACAATTACATAGACAAACTATTTTATTAATAATTCAGTTTTGAGGCACAGAACGCGTCGCTTACACAGGGGCAAACGAGCATGTAATATTTTTAGAGTTAACTGCACTGTTCCTGGGTATAACATAAATTAGGGGGAAAATACAAAGTTGCACATTTACGCGTTACGTTTACTTTATTTGCGTAATTATGCTTTAAACATTTATCTCATTAAATGCGTCATGCTTGCATGAAACATCAGAAATATTATTTATTTTAAACTTTTTAAATAAATAAATAATAATCCGCCATATTTACATAGTTTAATTATCATTAGATAGTGAAACTATGTTCATTTGGCGGACTTAACACCGGACGGTGTTCTTTACCAGTCAACCATTGGGCAAACCGAAAAATACGTAGGCATTGCATTATTGAATTGAGGAGACTAATACAAACATACACGTTATATTGTGCACGAATTGAAATAAAAATTATAAGAAATACGTGAATTTTTATCAATTTTACAACTTAAATTCTATATAAATTCAGAGCTTATATTAAATACCAGAGGGAAACTTTGTACAAAAGTCGATTGCTTGGGTACCTCTGTCCAATTCGTGTTTCAACCGTGAAGCAGTTGTGTTTGCATGGCTGTGTTTCAGTTTGAAGGGAGGAATATGGCGTGAATTTACTGGGTACAGAGGAATAACATCTGAGTCCTCAGGAATGGCAACGCATGGGGGGTATCATGGGCGAAATAGTATACTCTGTTATGTCCATGGTACTGCTCATGTCTATAGGCGACGGTTACCACTTTCCATCAGGTGGGCCGTCAGAAGTTGTATAAAAAAAAATACACAATCAGAACTCATCGTGATGTAAAAGCCTTTACAGTTAAATAGTACCTGTTTTTTTATTGCCAACGTCTATAATTAACTAAATTTTTTCTTTCTTATCTCGTTTTTATGTCTACATTGTCAGTCAGTCGATACATCTTACCATCATCTAGTTAATGAGAAGATACAAAGGGCATTGTTGTTACATTAAGAAAAAAAATCTTAAAAAAAAATAACAAGGGCATCATAGTTAACAGTAATTAACATAAAAACACATATAATATTACCTGTCAATCTCTTCTTTCAACGTCCTTATCACTTCTTTGAAACGTTCCTTTTCAATTGTACCTTCACGTTGGCAATCTCTGTAAAAAAAATATTACCGAGTTTAAGAGCGATTAAGAAACACACATCAAAAAATCTCTTTTTATTTATTTTTTTGATACCACTGGCAAACAACCATATGGCCCACCTGATGGTAAGTGGTTACCGTAGCCTATGAACACCTGCAATACCAGAGGTATTACGCGTGCGTTGCCGACCCTGAAGAAACCTCTTTACCCCCCTTTTGAAGAACCCCATGCTGTAGTCTCTTGGGAAAACATTGGCAGGGAGCTCATTCCACAACCTGAGTGTTCGTGGGAGGAAATATCTCTGAAACCGCGCGGTACGCGACTATTGAGGCTGTAGGACATGAGGATGAACTCCCTGTCGATGTTTGTCCCTCCCTTTCTACAAAAATTTACATTTTTTAATCAAATATATAATGAAATAAAGACCTGTACTGTCCTTCAAGTATATGTTTCTCCTTCCTGAGCTGCGATATGTCTAAATCCTTCCTGGCCAACTCGTGCGCATAGTGTAACATATGCGGCGGTGCCGTCACGTCCTTTAAAGATAGAAAAAAAAAATACATTTTCAATAGAAGGTAAATAGTTGAATTTACTGGGTACAGAGGAATAACATCTGAATCCTCAGGAATGGCAACGCATGGGGAGTATCATAGGCGAAACAGTATACTCTGTTATGTCCATGGTACTGTTCATGTCTATAGGCAACGGTTACCACTTTCCATCAGGTGGGCCGTCAGCTTGTTTGCCATTCTAAGTTGTATAAAAAATAAAAGTTGCATTAAATAGCTTTAAATACGATAGCTTTAATTTAGATCACACACCAAAATACATTTAATTTTAAACTTTCGTGTTGTTTACACATATTTTAAATACACAATCGGAACTTAACGCGATGTAAAGGCTTTTACAGGTAAATAGTAGCTATCTACCGAGCGTCAATGTTATCCCCGGATAGTACGTAATGCAATTGAAATTAGGAAAAATCCGAAAGGTTTAAATAAGAAAGATGGACATAGGCTGTCATCAGCATGTAACCCAGTGATTGGTACACTAAAAACACGCGATAATTTGTTTAAACGCAGTGTCGATATCGTGAGTACTGTGTGTAGGCTGTCTGTAGATAATAATGGTGACAGTGTGAGGGTACCCGAAGAGACTGCGCGAGCTGCCAGACGAAGACGCCGCTCACTTCAGTCCTGTCGTGCTCACGACGTTGTAGTTGTTTGGACGAAATAAGTAACAACCAATTTGATTATATTATTGATTTTTATATAATGAGAGAATGACAGCAGAAATGAATGGGAGAAGTAAACGTCGCTGTCATGTCTGTATGTCCAGTGCGAAAGATAGAAAGAGGTGAAATATCTACGTACAAATAAATTAACCTACTTGATGGATAGAAAGTAATGATGTTGACAAGTGGCTATGAGATGAATATTTACAATATTTATTTACAGACGCCACAACGTAGTGCAATCCACGTCGAAACGTCGGCAATAAAAAACAAGTATGTAGATACTATTTACATGTAAAAGCTTTTCCATCACGTTAAGTCCCGATTGTGTATTTAAAATATAACATTCAATTTACTTTTATCACTCATATTGAAACTTGGTAATTCAGTAAACGAACCACAGTGGAACATTGCAGTTTCATCGTCCATTTGCCGTCGGCGGAAGATCGGCAACACCGCGGTGCATGCTTTTTTTTATGTAACGCGCTACACTCGGCAGATGATACACAGTATGTGCACACATCAAAAAATATTTTACTTATTTAACTGTGTTTAAAAAATATAGCTTATATTTACATATTTAACTGTATTTAAAGAAAATATGGCCGTGTGGTCCCGGCATAGAACAGACCAGTCCTTCCTTTGCCGTGGGTGTCGTAAGGGAAGACGAGGTTTGGGCAGCAGCGTCCCTCTTAAAATATCTCCAAAGCCTAACTGCGGTGTTCAATCCACCTGCCAAATGTTGTAACTACTCGCAAAACCCCCCCAAGGAGTAGGCTTATGTTCAGCAATTAAAGGCTCATATGATGAATATGAAAGGATATACCCAATATCTACACTTTCTTTTATTTTCATTTAAATTTATTTCTACTTTATATAGAACCCATTTTAAACTAACATTGCGATGCTCAGCAGACGAAGGAAAATAACCATCAAAATTTAAATGTACCAGCTACATTCTGTTGCCGATCTGTCGCTGCGGATGATCGGCGATCGAAAATCTGTTGAATACGGAACTAACTTAATACCACCAATACTGCTTCACTCACCGTCAACATTCCCTCCTTCCAATGTCCATCTTCGACGCTGACCTTCCTTGAGCGGTCGTTCCTGGAGCGTATGTAGTTGTCGGTCTCTTCCAGTAGGGCGGCGTAGCGGTCCCTCTGTGTTTGCACCTGCTTCTCTAAGCTTTGCACCCTGGTCTTGAGGTCTGAGTTTAGCTCCTTGTAATAATCTTGCTCGCTTTTCATTTTCTGTAATTATTAAATAATAAATAATAAAAAACACAAAGGGAGACTTTGTACAAAAGTCGATGTGCTGTTTAAGCAGCTGTTTGCATGGCTGCGTTTTAGTTTGAAGGGTGCGATATCACGTAAATTTACAGGGTACAGTCTCCTCAGAACCAACGCATGGGGGGTATCATGGGCGAAACAGTATATGTTATGTCCATGGAGTGCTCATGTCTGATTTATGAAAGTGGTCATTCTAAGTTGTATAAAAAAAAAATGACATGCATGGATAAGCTGATTTAAGAAAGTGGATGAAGCAAGAATATTTGCTGAATAGAGGAATACTCTTTCTCTACTCTATAAATACTGTGTCATGATGATAGATAAATTGATTGATCAGAGAAATTGTTCAATATGATGCCAACGGCCACTTTCTACCATCATACGGCTCGCCATCGACAGGGAGTTCACCCTCATACACTACAGCATAAATGATCGTGTACAACGCGCTTACAGAGATGTTTCCTCCCACGAACACTCAGGTTATGAAATGAGCTCCCTTCCAAGGTTTTCCCAAGAGACTACAGCATGGGGTTCTTAAAAAGGGGGGTAAAGAAATTTCTTTAGACAACGCGCACGTAATACCCCTGGTATTGCAGGCGTCCATAGGCTACGGTAATCGCTTACCATTGGGCAGGCTGTATGCTTGTTTGTCATGTCAGTTGTATAAAAAAATTTTTATGTCGGCAACGTTAATCACTTTGCACCAAGTGGGCCATCAACTTGTTTGCCATTCTTATTTCTATATAAAAATAGTTTACCTCCTCATACAGCTTTAAAGTATCAGCTTTATCTTGTTTCTCTTCGTCTAACAACATCTTGTATGTTTCCAACTTCTCTTTAAGCATCGCCATCTCACTCTTCAGATCTTCTATCTCACTCTCATCGACATTGATTATCTTCTTCGAATTCTGAACTTTATATGCCTCAAACTCAGCTTTGAGGGCGTCATATTCTTCTCTACACTTGATATGTATGTTCTCATATCCATCGACTTTGAATACTGTGGTGATATCGATGGGGCTTCCCAATTTATCGTTTTCAGCTATAAGCTCTTTCTTCAGTATGTGTATTTTGTCGATCAATGTATGTAGGTATTCACTGTCAGCTAGTTTTTCATTGTCAGTCTCACTTTTTTGCTGTGGCTCTTCTGAAATGAAAAATTCTATTATAATTGTATTATATTTATGAACAAACAAATAAACTTTACAAAAATAATAAAAAAAAAAATATAACTTAAAACGTACATACATATTACATTTTTATATTTATAGTATTAAAAATAACGAACAGAGTTTCGTGCCTCCAGACACAATGTTTATAATTACTCCTCTCCATCCATAGGATGATAATCGCTCTTAGCGATAAGGTCGCCCATTGTTTTCTTACTATTTCTTGTAATTACTTTTAATGAACATTGTAATCATGGATATAACAGAGTATACTGTTTTGCAGCATCATGATACAACCTAATGCTTTAACAAATACTTCCGTTGCCATTCCTTGCTACTCAGGTGTTATCCCTCTGTGCAACGCGTCAGTAAATTCAATTCGCCCAACCATTCAAGCCATACCTTTTTTTTAATGTAGTTCTCAAAAGAGAAAGATCATGTCAATAGTCTATTTCGAGAAACCGCCTATATTCCTGAGGACTCAGGTGTTATTCCTCTGTATCCAGGTAAATACATATCCCAGAAACCGAAACACAGCCATGCAAACACAACTGCTTCACGTACAAACACGATCTGGTAAATTTCAAGGATTTTATTTTATTTTATTGGCCCTCTGGTAAAACAGATCACAACCATCAAAACATTAAATATTAAGATAGTTAAAACAATAATAGAGATAATAACAGGCCGTTACCACCTAAATAAACAATTATACACAATAGAACCCACAGATTGAGTAATTTTGACGCCGAAAGCCTGGAAACACATAAAATAAAGAAAAGGCCTATAAGTATTAAGCTTAATATGTTATATAAATATATAAAAAATAAAACTATATAAAAAAAAAAAGTCATATTTTCAATCATCATTTTTTTTTTAAAACTAGAAAACAACACGTTCTTTGGTAAATGACTACAAATAATTTGTACACGAATATATGTGCGTCATGGATTATGTTTTCTCGCAGGATACTATGTCGTTACAATGACGAAATCCTTGCTGGACAGGATTCCAATAAGAGTGGTTGTGCGTGAGTCTTGAAAATCGCACAATAGAAGGACATCGCTCATCCAGATGATTGGAATGGTACTTTAATTTATGACGGGTTGTACATTAAAAATCAATTGTAAAGATCCCAGGAAGATTCTGTGTTTTAACACATTGGATGATGTCCATATGATAATGGCTGAATGTACACGAAATACAAAACACAGAGGGAAGTATGACTGATAGCAAATATATAGATAAAGAATAACTACACGACACCTTTCTCGCTTGTTTGTATTTTCAAATATACCATGAAATGAAATTCCACATCAATTTCGGTTTTCAAATCTTTAATTACTATATTTTTTGTCATCAATAATTCATAAAAGTTCAAAGGAACTATATTTTAGCATTTTTAATATTTTTAAACGAACGAATGATAATGATGTATTATCTATTCATGTAGAATAATGTTACAACTGTGAGGTATTTCATATAAAATTTTGTGAGAGACTTATTTTATTGGCACACTAGGCAGGATATTGGCAAATTTTATTTTATAAAATTAGACATATCCTTATAGGATAAAAGCCTTTAAATAAAAAAGACAAAAAAAAAAAAACAAAAGGAATTAAGTCGGAGGATTCAGTTACCGTGTGTGTCGGCGGCGTCAGCGGCGGCGGCGTGTGAGGGCGCGATGTCCCGCAGCAGGCGGCCGTCGAGCGCGGCGTGCAGGCGCTGGATGGTGCGGCGGTCGTGGCGGCGCGCGGCGTCGTACTGGCCGAGCGTGTGCGACAGCTCCGCCACGCGGCCCTCCAGCAGCGCCACGCGCTCCTCCTGCCGCGCGCAGCTCTTGCGGGCAGCCTCCTCGCAGCGCTTCGCTTTTATTTGCTCCTGTACAATCGTTTTTTTTTAATGGCAACCCCGCCGGCGCCAACGGTACTTTTTTGATGGGTGAAAATGGTATGGTAACCCCGCCTGCGCTAACGGGATACGCTGGCGGAGCACCAGTGGAGGGTGATAGATGAGAATGAAAATAGATCAGTTAGCCCATCATGATGAATTCATCAGGAATTAGGGTTACCATACCATTTTCACCCAACAAAAAAAAACAGGTATATTCTGTTATGTCCATGGTACTGCTCATGTCTATAGGCGACTATCTCCACTTTCCATCAGGTAGGCTGTTAGCTTGTTTGCCATTCTAAGTTCTTTTTTTTTTTTTAATAGTAGTCATTATTTACTTTAATTAAACTGCATCTCATTCATTTTGTATTAACACGTCTCAGGGTATCAATCTTGTCCAATGTCTTGTATCTATAATTGACTGTGTATTTTTTTTATTCTTATCTGTTGTTTTTCCAAATAAAAAAAAAAATAAATAAAAATAAAAAATCACATACCTCCCTAATAGCGATGGAGTGCGACTGCTCTAGCAACGCAAGCTTCTGCTGCAGGCGAACTAGCAGCGCGGGCGTCTCTACCGTACGGGCCTCCGCTCGTTGCAACTGTCGCTGGGCCGCTTCCAGCGAACTGCTTAAATCCCGGACACGTTTCTCCAGTTCCGCTTGTGATGCTGGAAGGCATTATTAATTAGACAAGGGTAATTGGTAAGTCCACAGTGAAGTGAGTTGGTGCAATTGCGCCAACTCACTTCACTGTGGACGTGTCAACTCTAAGTAACGCGAAAACAATTTAGGTAATTTTTTGAGCTTGTGGGTACTATTCTAATAGTATATAAATGCATTAAAATGTATGAATGAATATAAGGAAAAATTACGTAAAAGTTTTTTTGTATGCAACTTAGAATGACAAACAAGTTGACGGCTCACCTGCTGGAAAGTGATAGCCGCCGTTTATAGACATAAGCAGTAAGTATCATAGATATAACAGAGTATACTGTTTCGGCCATAATAACCCCCCATGCGTTGCCATACCTGAAGACTAGGGCGTTATTCCTCTGTACACTGTAAATTCACTGCCATATCCCATCCTTCAAACCGAAACACAACCATGCAAACACAACTGCATCACGGTAGAAACACGAATGGGACAGAGGTATCCAAGCAAACGACTTTTGTATAAAGTCTCCCTTTGGTAAGTACAGTAATAGACGTTTTTTTTTCATCATTTAAATTTGGCAAATGTTTAAAATATAATAAGGCGTTACCCGGAACGCCACAACGCAATTTTGAGTTATCTCAATAAGTCGACACAGTTTGAGTTACTGAGTTAACACAAGAAAAATCTTAATGATGATTTCGCAGCAGTAGACAAAAGATCTCTTAAATTTTTTGACAATAAAACACAACCCTTATTACTTACTGATAATAAACCTGTCTGTAACTTTAAGAACTTTTAACATCCATTATGTATTTTCAAGTTTAATTATTACAAACAAACGATTAAAATTTTTCTCTTTATCATCCGACTTCAAGAAGATTCTCAATTTAATTGTATTGATTTATAATGTTTTTTGATACCTTTTAACTCAATCAGTTGTAAACCGATTTGAAAAATCCTTTTTTTATTTACCTGAAAAGATATACTTTCAGATTGATTGACTGGCCGATGACATTTCGTCATAGTTGTAGAATACTGACGGATCTGACGAATATTACATATATAGATACGTCAGTATTCTACGACTATGACGATTTAATCTTGATACGGCTTACCTTGACTCTCTGACGATGTAACAACTTTGTCCTCCAATTTCTCCTTACTCTTTCTTTCCGAATTCAACTTTACATTCAGTTCCCTGTAATAGATTTATTTTAAGAGTGTTTATTTATTTATACTTTATTGTACACAAGAATTACATTGTTATAATTTAATTTTAATAAAGATGTACAACTGGCGAGCTCAACTCTGTAAGTTCTCTTCCAGCAAACTTCGAGTGGAAAGGAGCATTAATTACCAGTAGGCGGGGTGCATACAATAAGAGGAAACAGTATGGTTGTTTCTACTAAGAAATAATGAATATACTTACCTAAATATAAATTAACTTATATACTTACATTTTTAAACATTATTTATTACTTTATTATACACATATCTGTTTTTAACTGTTCACTGCTAAACATAAGGCTACCCCTGGAGGGGAGGGGGAAGGTTATTTATTTATTTAACACTTTATTGCACCAACATAACATGATTTGTTAAACAATTTTCAATACGTATAGTGTAGTACAAAAGGCGGTCTTATTGCTAAGCAATCTCTTCCAGACAACCTTTGGGTAGAAGGAATTAAAGCATAAATAGGTAGATGGCGCGTTAAAAAAAATAGATTATTACCAGTAGTTGTTACGCTTCCGGACATGTAGTGTTACACAGTAGCAGTAAGTAGGTGTTACACAGACGATTTGGCAAACATAGGCTTTGGAGATGTTTTAAAAGGGACACTGCTGCCTATCCCTGTCATCCCTTAGTCGCCTCTTACGACACCCACGCGAAGGACGGTATGCCGAGACCATAGTTTTATTCTATATTCTGTATTAATAAAACTAACATATAAACAACAGATAGAATTAAAAACTTACTTTATCATAGCCATGTGATCAGCCCTCTCGTTCTCTCTCTCCTGTATCTCGTAGGCTATCTTCGATTTGAGACTGTTCACTTCAGCCAAATGCTGCTGCACTAATGATTTCGTCTCCTCTTTCAATGCAGCTATTGCGTTCTCATACTGAAAATTAACATCCACAAAGCGATTATGCATAGTATACAGAATGAGATTACTAAAATATATCTAATATTAATTATAAATAAAGATATATATAAAAATATATCTTTATGTTATAATAGATAGAAATCACTACAAAGTATAAAACAAAGTCGCTTCCCGTCTGTCTGTCCCTATTTATGCATGAATCTTTAAAACTACGCAACGGAATTTAATGCAGTTTTTTTTTTTTTTTTTTTTTAATATATAGAGTGATTCAAGAGGAAGGTTTATACGTATAATACATGCATAATATTGTAGAGAAACACTGATAATTTTGAAGATATCTAATGAGATGCGATGTAATGTGCACTCGCGCGAAGTCGGAGCTGGTCGCTAGTTTAATTATTTACTAAACTTGGTCTTATTTCATATAATGTAGTATTATGATAAAAAAAAAAGAAAGAAATTTAATTCAAAGTAACATATTCTCTAACAATGTCGTATCCATTACCAAATCGCTTGCCACTTGTCTAGAGACCCTAATAAACTAAAATAAAAAAAAAATCCCTACATAAAGGACACGTAATTAAACTAAATTCTGCTTAGTTTAGACCTATATTGTGCTTCACAATATCCTCAGTTGTGCCTAATTACTATTTTACCCATACACATATTACACAGTACACATACAAGAGTAAAATTATTTTTTACATAAGAAAATTGAAAATAATGACTGTTGAGTTTCTAGTGGGCTCTTCTCAGCAGATAACAACATACAGAACTCCGCAGTAGTATTTTAAAAATGACGATTTAAAAGATCTTGTAAGAGATGAATAAAAATTATTTCTATTCAATTCTATTTTAGGTACTTAGATACTATATTAAAAAAAAATAATAGACATGTATTATCACCTTATCTCTTGTAACTTTTTTATCTGCTTGAAAAGCCTCTTCCATTCGAGCTTTCTCTGCAGTCAATGTAGAGAGGGACAAAGTGAGTGCTGCCACTGAGTCATCTGTAAAATACAAAGTTAATACATTTAATAAATCCTATCCTTACTAATATTATAATTGTGTAAGAGAGTTAGATTGTTTGTTACCTTATAGTGCCTTAACAGTTTAACCAATTACTATGAAATTTGATATTCACATACTATATAGAATGGAGAAGAATATAGCTTTAAAAACATTTGGTTAAAATTAGATGGTTGCAGTCATGTAGTAAAAGATAGTTTATATTATAAATGTGAAACTTTGTAAGGATGAATGGATACATAACCTTTCATACAAAAATGACTGAACAGATTTAAATTAAATTTGGTACATAAGTGGTTTATATCCTAACTTAGCACACAGGATATGTACTGTATTATATACCGATTTGTGTGGGCAAAGCCATAAAATATAGCTAGTAATTAATATGCCTATATCTAATATGTAATGTTGGGGGAGATGGGATTGTTAAAATGGAGATTTCTTCAGCCCCATTTCTGGTATTGCAGGTACCATGCCACGGTAACCACTTACCATCAGGTAGGCCGTATGCTTGTTTGCCACCTCAGTGGTATAAAAAAAAAAGTCTTAATATGATTCTAATTGTTAGATTCATCATGTTGGACTAACTGACCTGTTTCATCCTCATCTATCATCACTCACTGGTACCTCGCCAGCGTATACCCGTGGTTCCACCTAGAAACCATCTTGATTGATTTATCCATTAAAAAAAATACATAATGTTTTCAAAGTCATTTGTCTACTATGGCCAATATGGTAAATATAATACGGAACATACCTACATCCATAAAAACTGCAAAATGATATCCAAAAAAAGAAGAAGGCAAACATTCCACCATCACTAAAGATTATTTTAAATTCAAGGTAACCCCCTTATTTATAAAAAAAATTAAAACCTACTAACTAATTATAACTATCAGAGTTTTGTTACTTTCTTTTAAATTAATAATTTAACACAAAAGAAAAAGACAAAACAGTTCAATAGCTAAAATAGGTTTATATAGAAATATTCTTGATATCATATCAATCTGGGAACAGCTTTTTCCTTTAAATCTGCTTATAACCTATCAACATATATTTAAAGGGACACCAGGTAGGCTTGAGATGTCTTTTTGAAACTTCGCTTGCTATCTGAGATAGGATCACTAGATAATTTTGAGGTGGGCACAACTCACTCAGGCTGCATTTAAATATCCTATGGTTAAAACAACATGGATTCACAATAATTTTTTAAAATCGATTGTGGTTTTGAAAATAAATCAAAATAAACATTGCAACAGGATTCTTATATATATTAAGATATATTTTATACACAAGAAGGTTACCTCCTTCACTGGGCAATTCAGTCTTGTTCAAAGCCTTCAAACTTATTTCTAAAGCCTCCTTTTCTTTAACAAGTCCCTTGTATGCAGCAACAACATCTGAAAACAATGAATTTTAATAAGTAAACTATGATGAATAAGAATGGAGATGATAATGATGAGATTAGAATTTAATTATCATACATTAAAACTCATTAAAAGATATCCACTGGTCAAAAAAGGCTTCTACTAATCCCACTACAAAAGCACAAAAGAAATTTATAACATATGGAGAAAAATATTATTTAGATACCTATATTCAATCTACTCACCTCTTAATCGTGCTTCATAACGTTTAATTTGGTCCGCCTGTTTGGTAATAGTTGATATCAACTCTTGTTTTGACAGTGATTCCATTATTTCGCTTATTTTGTATTACTTTTACACAGACTAGAACATTTGATACTAATTTCAAACACACAATTGTACCAGTGTAATTAACAAATTATTAATAACTATTCAATCATATTCTTTACGTATATTACTACAAAAGTCTTAAAATTACAGTCATTGAAATCAGAGTATAATTAAATTATTTATATTTTTGTAAGTATATAAAGAAAGTGATTGTCAAAGAGTACCTGATTGGTTAACTATATCACTTTAGAATTAGCACTGCTGTTATAATGACAAAACTGAAAAGTCAATCTATGCAGCTATGTAGAAGTATCACTACAATAAACAATAATATTCAGTGTTACATATCACTTTATAATATGTTTCCGTCCAGTATATTGATAAGGTATGATAAAAATTCTAGATTTTTCCGTTACCTATAATGGCAAACAATTGTTAACAATTTTCATTAGAAGGTCTTTTTTTCTGATGAAAAATGTTAACCACTGCTTATAAATATGCCATGGTAACGACAAAATACACGGTGATATTCATGGTGCCCCTAAATTAATTGATTAATAGTATGGTCGCTACTTTTTAATGTAAAATTTTCAAATTCATTAAAGTGGTTACATGAATATATGTATACAGTTTTTTTTTTATTCAAAGTGACGTTGACTTGAGTAACCGTGCATTTAAAAAAAAATCTCTCATGGTTGCCAGATGCGAATATTTATTTTAATGTAATACTTTTTTTGAATTCCTACGCTCAATGTTAAATTAGTGTAAAATGTATCAATTAACAGTTATAAGAAAAAAATAATTGCAAATTATTTTCGTGATTTAATATGTTAAATCATAATCTAACGTTAGTGTATAGATAATCGTTTAATCACATTGGATCATCCCCATCACTATAAAAATCTTTAATCTTTTTTAATTCCGTGCTTTTAGTTTGATCTTTAGTATTTAATGTTTTTAACAATTGTTTTTCAATAATACGTTTACTCTCAAAATAATCTGAATTGACTTGGTACGACAGTATCGATTAAATTCATAATATCGTTATGTTATACAATATTTATTATATTGATATATAATAATAAATCTATATCTTTATGAGTAGAAATTTCAGCAAGTTTTGTTAAAAAACGTAATAAATCGGAACTTTCGATTAATTAATTTTGGATTTATGCCTACTAGTGTACATCACCAGACTGTCTTGTAATCGGATCAATAATTCGTTTGTTTACATTTTCATAAAATTCTATTAGAATAAACTGCAGATACCTAATTCAGTTTTTTATTTTTTTTTTTTTCTAATAAGAATAATAATTATTGATTTTTCTAAAATGCCGATTAGAATGGACTTTGTAGTCCTATAGATAAAAACCAAAGGAAACAAAGTCTCACGACTGAAAACTGAACAAAGTAAAAAAAAAATCAAATGAAAAGTGACAAAAACCGGAATTAATAAAATCATAATAAATAAATAATGTATTTAAAAAAACTCAGTCAAAAACGAACCTCCATTCAGAATGCAATGAGTGCATTGACCTCTACAGAAGGGTGCCGGGGGTTGACACGGTTTCGTTCACCCCTCGGATTAGAGTCAAAAGTCGAAACTGAATTGTGTTGTAAGAAATAGGTAGGGTGTTTTAGATATACAACAAACTTAAATGAAATATTTTTACATACATATATTACATTTACAAAAACAAAAATGTTACAGATTTACTATTGCAGAAAATTGTACGAAGCAACTATTATAACGAAGAAATTATAAAAAGCGAAGATTTATAACAAATTCATTTGAACGGCAAACGTGCATAGTCGACCATGCATGGGTTTTTTAATGACCATGTCATTTTAGATATTATTTAAATAAATGTGTGTAGGTACTTACGATATAGATATGTTAACAATAATAAATCTGAGTAATGTCTGTCTGTAAGAACGCTGCGTCACATTGGACTTAATCTCGGCGTAATATGAGTACAGTCGAGTACGTTCATGGTAACAGTAATAATGTAAAGTCTCCGAGTTCTTTATACTGTTGTAATAGTTAACAGATACCTTTGACTGCCCCTTTAACCATAGTTATAGTTATAATTTTTTTTTTTTACTTTGGACCCCAATTTATTATGTGGTTTCTGATAAAGGTTTAATCTTCGCCGTAGTTTTTGATCCATCAAATGTAAATCCTTGAAAATTTGCAGATTGGAGTTCATCCTCCTTCGTAGAAGACTACACTGCGGCATAAAGTAAAACTTGGACAGATTTTTTATACAACTATGACTGCTAATATACGACCCCTCTGATGGTTAACCGGGGTTACCGTAGCCCATGAACACCTGTAAGACCAGGGACGTCACTCGCGCGTTGCCGACCTTTATGAAAGCTTAATACGCCCTTTTTAAGAACTTCATGCTTTTAAGTGATACTTACTCAAGGAGTCAGATTACAAAACTAATGCCTTTTTATTTTACGAGCATGCATTGGACTAGGAATGATTGAGGGTAACAGGAGAGAAACAACGGTTTATTTTAAATGAAAGATTATTTAAATATATTATTGCTAATGTCAATATTTAATGTCTATATCAATATTCCCTACATCAGATTACATTCGTTGACATTATTTCGAAATTAAATGTAAGTAAGCCAAACATTTCTTTCATACATTATATCGGCGATTTGTACTCTGTCTTATATTTCTAGCTACGTCCTAGGCCAAAACCTTACAATACCCAAACCTGCCCAAAGTAACGCAAAGAGAACAAAAAAAAACAACTAAAACAAACATTAAATGTGGTTAAATGAGTAAACACTAAAAAAATTGATAAAAAAATGTTAGTTTAAAATTAACTGAAACTATTCTAAACACAAAATACCACATCTTCGAACGCAAATACTAAAAGTGAAACAAAACAATAAATGGGACAGGTGTGTAATCGGTATCAAAACGTTATAGTTCGGTGGAGAAGCGAGTGCAGCGCCATCTCTACGTGCGTAAATGTTGCTCGCCTTATGTAGCAAACAAATCTATCAATAGGTACATTTTTATTATCGGTAAAACGGTGAACATTACCGTCTTTTTCTATTTCATTCATGCGGTAATGGCAACGTTTCTAGCGATATATCCGTTTGATATTGGTGTATGTGCGTGGAGAGAGGGTCTCATTTGATGGAAATTAACGATGAGGTTAGATTGAATTTACAGACTTGCAGATGGCATTTCAGCTTTTAAGAGGTTTAGATCAATCTATGTGATGCTCAATAGAGAAAAACCGAGAGGGTGAATACATTTAGACTTATTAAAATACGTAGTCTGAATAGCCCTACCCTAAAATAAAAATATAGAGGGAAAAAAGTATTTAGCAATGTACATGACAATCTGAACCACATAGGGTGTGAGACGTCCAAATACCCGCCAGGGCCTGGGAGGCTCCACGGGACCCACTATCTATTCGCTGTATATATATAATTTCTAGAAAGGACGAGACTCGTCAAACTATGTTTGCGCAGGCGCAAACTAGGATAGAGATGGCGCTTTATGAATGTTTTCAATCATTTGGAGGGACGACACAACATAAACTTAGATATTATTATGTGCCGAATCTTTCGTACGCGTGTCACGCAATCAAACCAGTTTAATACAAGTATTATTGGAGGTGAGATTCAAATTAACACTAGCAAAGGTAGCAAACAAAATTGGAAAGGCAGTATACAAATAAAATTAAAATAAGACATGCAGTGGTGGCGCCAATATAAGGTATAAAAATAGCTCTAGCGGCAATAACTCGCAATTACAATCGGTGGCGCCATCTGTATTAATCTTTGCAGTGCCTTTCTTTAACATTGCCGATTACAATTTCTAGAAATGCGATCAAATGCGTTATGTTCACTGTCCGGTTATGCGAACAAGGAGACAGCAAAACGATCTCTTTATATCCCTCAATTCAAGTTAAAACACTGCTGTGACTGTGATCTGAAAGTCTATTTTTCATTCTGTTTCTTACATTATCAAATCATTCTGTCTTATTATAAGTTGATTCAGTAATAAATTCATTATTAGAATTTGATTAGATTATTGTAAACAGACTAATATTAGGTAGTCTGAAATGCAACCATCTTGTAGATTAGTCTAAAAACGAAAAAAAAAATGGAATACATTTAAAACTTTTTCATGCCGACTGTACACTTAACATCGATAACAAAAAATCTTGTGTATGATTACACCATTTAAGTAGGTGCAAAATAAAGTTTTTTTTTTTTATGCCATTAAGGCAACAAAATATTAATCCCAACAATAGCAGGCGAATTATTTGATTAACCTTTGAAAGGGTTTGAGTATCCCTTAATTTGATTTTTTTATGAAACTACAATGACAAATGAGCTAGTTGTTTTTTTCATAGTTTTAAATTATCGCAGTTTACTCCGTTAATTACTAGATTATTTATGTTTCAGACTACCTTATATTAATTACCAGCCACATCAGTTTTTAAATTAAGTGGAATACCAAACCTCTAATTCATAAAAACATCTAATAAACATATTTTAGTTATAGGAGTGTTTTCTCCTTTTCTTTCGCATTATATTCTCAATTTAAAAAAGCGAGAATAAACTTTAAACGTTAAAATAGGTCTGTAGGTTTTAGTTTTTATGAATAAGGGGATGGAATGTTCCCAGGTGCATTTTGGAGTGTGCTTGCTGTAAAACAAGCGCGGACAAAAGATTTAGCACATACCACAGCTTTCATATACACAGAGGTACATTAAATCTTTTGACTAGTTTTGATACACACCATTTATGTATTGTTTTGTGTGTTTCATGGTATTATAATATACTTATGTTAACCGAACACCACACGAACATAATTTTAACTCAAAATCCTAAGCTACATTTAAATTAGAGAACACAGTTTTATAAATACTTAAGTATAGTCACTTAAAATATTAAGGTTGCGCAAAATTAAATCTGACTAGTTCCACATAGTTTAAGTACTTTAAATAAATAATATTATTGAAACATTTATCCTTATAGATACACATAGAAATTAAACGAATACTTATTCGAAATGCATATTACAAGCCCATCATATTAGAGAATTACTCACCTCTGCAGTTGGTATTTTCATTAAATGATATGCATTATCATTATCTATGAATAATTTAACTATGCAAGTAGTATGACCTACTAAATACGAATATCTGGAACGATACACATCCTGAGAGGTACGTTCGTTATTTGAGTGAGTAATTACTGAACTAATTGCAAACTTACACTAGATATTCAATATATTAATTGTAACATCAAAATGAAATCTATATATATCTATTATGATTATAATAAATTATGTTTACAATGAATTGAAATTACTTAAATATAATAATAAATAGTTGTGATTATACAAACTAATTAGAGACAATATCATGTTTGTGAAAGTCAAATGTAAATTTTTATTATAAGGATTAAGTTATATAATATATTGGAAATTGGAAAATATGTGATTTCATAAAATGCATTTGGCGTATTCATTATTATTGTATAAAGATGACTTTGTATTTGTACGTCAAGTATACAATGTTGACACTAGTACGATGATACTTTAATACCTTGACTTTCACTTTATGTACACAATAATTAATGCACTCACAAAACTGTTACATATATCCATGTCACAATTACAAAATTTAGTCAAAATGTTGATCAATATTTAATTACATTTATGTCATGGTCCATCACTTCATAATATACATTGAAATTATTTTTATGTAGTCAATTATTATTTAAAAAATTCACTTATATATTGAGATTTAATTGTTATGGAATAAATGATTGTAAACATAAAAGTGATTCTTATTATAATTATATCCTATAATTATATAAATTATCCATAATATAACATCCATTCTTTACATGTAAATGATTTTGTGCATGGACTCAAAATTTCAAAATTACCTTATTATTATTAGATCATAAAAAGCTGAGGTCATAATTTTATGCTGTCAATGTAACATGAATATTATGGAAGAATAATTACAGTTTATTTTGTTTTATTGCAAAATGTAAAATCAGTCATTGTTTTATTCAACATCTTTGGTAGATCCACATTCACTGCTTCCTCACAGCTAGATATGATCCATCATTTGTATGTTAACAGCTAGAATACATTCGTTTTGCACTTGATTATAAACTTTATTTCAATATAAATAAAGTAGTCTATGGAGTGGTATGATATTATTGGAACTAGATTGGGTTGTAAATAAAAAGAATACATATAAATATGTATCATTATAAGTATTTACCAAATACACATATGTGAGGTTATAATTGCACCGGTTTTAATATAAATAAAATTTTCATATATTTTTTTTTTCACTTAGAGTAAAAATTTTAATATTGCACTGTCAAGTCGTTAAGAGTTAATTATTGCCTGACTTTCAGTTAGACTCTTATTGGCGTACAAAGTGGGAACACATTTAATGTTTTGTCTTGACCTACTACTGTTCTTAAAGTATTATATATTGCTAATAATGTACTTAGTGTGTAAATACAGCTGTCTTATTGCAAATGAGAATTCTGATAGCAGTTAAAGTATCAATATTTATGGTGATTGACATTTTTATTTTTTTATAAAATTTTTATTAATAATCTGCTGTAATAAATTCTCATTGACAGCAAGAGGAAGTATTTGAGTTAGCAATAAATATTAATCTAGCCTCTGATTGGCTTGTCAATTGTATCATTATATTAGCACTTTCTAATAATTATCAATGAAAAAAAAGTGCTGTATTATATGTATTGCCAACTCATTTATTATAAAAGACACAGGATTATAATATAAAAAAGGTAAATCATTGGGAGTCTTTTTAAAACAGTTTGCCGTTTGTTTGTATTAATTTGTGTTAATGTTTTATCATAATGTGAGGAGTTTTGTTTGTACTTATTTGAACGAATAGGGTTCAAACTGGTATTGTGTCATGATTTGCATCATTATACTACTCAGTACTAGCTTTAATCGAGACGATGTCAAACCATGACGTGGTAATGATCAACATTTTTTTTTGTATTAGCTACAATTTATTGACTAGATTTTGAATAGTTTAAGATTTACTCTTGTTCGTTTTGAAGCTGACTTGCAGCACTTGGCCGTTGAGCGAGTATCCATTCAATGATTGGATAGCAACAACTGCATCGTCATAATTGGTCATCGTAACAAAACCATACCCTTTGCATTTGTTAGTAGTTGGATCCCTTATAATTTTAACACTCTGGACGGCACCAAAAGGCCCAAAGAGCTGCCATAGCACACTCTCCTCAGTATCAGCTCCAATGTTGTACACAAAGATGCACCAACCTGAACCACCTAACGCATTACCTTGGATGAGAGGATCGGCCAAAGGAGAGAATCTCTGGAGACCTTTGTTGATTGCAAGCAGAGCCTTTCCAGCTGGGAGGAAGCGACGAGTTGATGTGGGAGCTAAGTAAGCAGCCAATGGTGCCAGGGCCTTATTCTGATTACTGGGGTTATTAGCACATTTCACTGTCATAGGGCCTGTACCACCAGGTGGCACAGTCCCGTTCAACTCACGTATAGCTGCCTCTGCTTCGCATCGTTGATCATACCTGATGAAGGCGACACCTCTCGATGGTCCCTGAAGAGACTGATCATCTCCTCCAACTTGTAACAAGTGACTGACGTTCACATTTTCATGCAGGATCCGCGAGCTGATGATAGTACCATATGGACTGAAGAGCTTCTCTAGTTCCTGCTGCGTCATATGCTTAGGCAGACCCGACACGTATAAGTTAGCTCCTTTGATAGCGTCAGAACTTGGGCGGGCGTAAGAGACTTTGATGATTTTATTCTGTAATCTCAAACCGTTGAGCGTGTTCACCGCTTTCTCCGCGTCCTCAGGTTTGTGATAATTGACGAAAGCATACCCAAGACTCTGTCCGTTCAAGATATGGTCAGGGAACACTGTCACTTTGTCTCTAATTAGCTTGCAACTTTCTACTTCGCCGACGCTAGAAAACAGCGACCGTATCTCTTCTTGTGTCATCGTTTGTGGTAAGTAATTCACTATAAGATTGGTTTTTGACTCGTTATTGCTAGGCTGCACCTTACTACCATTTTGCGTGGGCTGGTTTGCGTTCACGGTGTCGAGAGCGTTTGCCATCATTTTTAATGATTTCTATTAACACCGAATATGGTGAAATACCACTAATTATAATAACTCTATTAATATTAATAACAATACAAATCAGTCAGATTATAGATTTCTTGGTGATTTTAATAACAGCACTTCGCGTTACTTGAAAGCATATGCAAGGTAAGAAAATCAATAAGATGCCTGTTCACTTTTGTACCTATCCTGTTTTCGATGGTACGGCACCGAGTCCGTTGAATCAAAATATAACCAGAAACACAAATAAACTTTAGTTTATTAGATGCTATAGAGAATATTAAAGCAAAGTGAAAAGGAAATCAACCAAAAATCTATACGACTTGCGACCTATTCCCGTAATTTCATTTCTTTCACTTCACTTTCTTTTTTTACAGTGTTGCTATTTCATAAATATTGTTGCACCTAAAAAAAAATTCGCATTGATTTTAAAAAAAGAACATGATGTAAATCTGTACAAAGATATATGTATACCTGTATTTACAATATGTTAAAGTAAGAAATTGCTAAACATCATGTTTAGATATATTTTTTACAGTTTGTAAGAATATTTTGTTACATTAATTTACAACATCATTGGACACGAAATATAAGAAATTAGAGAAAAAATTATCAAAGCACTCTATTTTCAATGCTTTTTTTATTATATCAATAATTTTATGATAAATATTTTTTAACGGATTTATATTGTAAATCCGATGAAAACATTTAAGATTTTAAAGAACTGATAAAATTTTCATATGCACTTGAAATTTCCATTATCGCTTTTTAATAGAATATAAATTTAATAGCTTACCTTATGTATATTTTATGTCTAAACATAACAAGTTTTAATCTGTGAAATTTTTTGTCTTATCAGTAATTTTCATATATTGACAAATATAATAATATAGATCATAAATTTTACATGACAATAAAACAGATTTTTTCTGTTATAATTTATTCATTAATAATTTACTCTTTGTATAATTATAATACAAGTTTGTTAATTGATATCATAATATAAAATGATAAAAATCAATAACAATTATTTGAACATAAATTAGTTATATAGTTGTAGATAATTTTGATCATAAATAACGAAATTAATATTTTAATATTTAATTCAATAATCAACAAAATTGGTACTGTTTCGAAAAAAAAAAATGGCGTAACACATTATATTTATTCGCTAGTTTTCCTTTTAAATGGGAAACTTTTTATTGCTAGTGACACTAAGAAGCACTGCCAACTATTCATAGATAATTACTAGCAGTTCTGACAACATAATAAAATTTCATGTTGAGCATTTACAAAGATAGCAGTATTTATATTTTTTTTAGTATCCAAATCTATATTAATTGTAAGATAAAGAATACAGAATATTTCTCTCCTCTCTGTTCTGCAACAGGGAATATAATTACTCAATGATTACTGACAGTGTTAATTATGAAAATAATGTTGTATCATGTAATACTTGTTAGTAAAAGCTCAATATTTATTATACACACACCGCATAGACAATCACCAATTATAATGCTCTTTTTATTTTATATTTATTTTAATTATTATTTTCACGTACCCTCAAATGGGTTAAAGCTAAAATCAGTGTTTTGTTCCTTGAACAATGTTCCACACTGAGCTTCGACCTTTTTGTATTGCTGCAGATCACACATAATAACACAATTTTATAAATCTTATGTTGTATTATGTATTATCTATTCTTATGAACATGTTGTGTGTGATTAGTAACAAACAAATAAACGATATATCTATCAATAAATCTTGGTGCTGCCTCTATAGAGCAATTTAAGAACTCAAATTATTATTACGATTTAGTTCTACGGATTGACACTTATTTGCTAGTGGCGCAGTTTGTCGGCGGAAGTAAAAGAAAAATACAATGGGTTGATTCTGAAGTGAAATTCTCTGATCTAAACCTATTTATAAAATTAACATTTTCTTTTAATAATTTCCTAAAAGAATTATTTTATAGATCAGATTATATTATTTTTGACTACTTATGTCATTATTAATTATTATTATTCAGTATTAATTTAATTCATATTATTTCTTACTTATGATTTTTTAAATATAGAAAAATGATTTCGCTGTTTCATCAATTTTTAATTTTAGAATAAGTAAGAAAAGAGAAAAAAATTTTTTTTTGATACTAAATAAAAAATGGAAAAATAAAGTTTAAATTTGGAATACGAGGTTTGTCCGGAAAGTACGTATAAAAGTTTTTTAAAAAATTTATTTTACAATTATTCAGGAAATCAATTTTATATACTCCCCTGTGACATAATGCACTTGTGCCAACGCCGTTTCCACTGTGAGAAGGCTCCTTGAAAGTCCTCTGGTTGTAGGTTTCTCAGCTGCCCCGTCGTAGCTTTTTTTATCTCATTTATGTCCCCCAAATGCCGCCCCCGAAGTACCAATTTGGTTTTTGGGAACAAGAAGAAGTCACACGGGGCCAAATCCGGCGAATAGGGGGGTGTTCGGTCACCGTAATGGAATTTTTACTCATACGGAACGATCTTGGCGCATTTTTTTCATTTGAAGTTCGTTTCTTAGAATTTCGTGGACCACGGTTTTGCCCAAATTATCTTCAGCCACCTACCGTTAAACGACGGTCCCCATTAACACAAGTTCGAATTCTTTCCACGTTTTCGTCGGAATGATAAGGACGTCCTGATTATCTTGAACGCTTAATCTTTTTAATACGGTTGGTTCCTTCAAGCAATCATCCCCATAAACTGTTCAGATGAAAAATTTCATCGAGAGAAACTTGATTACGACGCGCTGCTCTTCAACGGAAGCGGGCTCCATGCCGACGGGGTTTCGTTAAGAGGTAATAAATTCACAGATGGCGTGACAAGCCAGTTCGCACCGCACGGCGGTCAGACCAGAACTGAAGCATTGTTAGGGACATAAGGAAGGGGTCCTGCGCTTACCTGGCCTCCCCACTCCTCTTTCTCGCATTCCAGAACACTTTTATACGAACTTTCCGGACAGACCTCGTATATGCAACCAAAATGATTAGTATTCAGCTAAGTGTCTAGGCATTCATATATAACGCCTAAATATAATATTATTTAGAGATATATTACTATTATTAATATAATAATAATGATGATGACATCAACCGTTAACTGTACATTGCTGAACATGGGCCTCCCTTGGTGAGGTTTGGCTAGTAGTTGCCAAACTTGGCAGGCAAATTGGATTATTAGTAATGAGGTCTAACTGACTCATTGCTAGTAATACACCCTACCAGGTCAATCTCTTAGTAGTTCCTCCTGGAAATCAACGTGATTTATTCTAGTGGAATTCGTAAGCAATGGGATAACTGACCTGCCTTCATCGTCACCTATCACCCCTTACTGGTGCCCTGCCAGCGTATACCGATAGCGCAGGCGGGATTACCATTCCATTATCAGCCATTAAAAAAAAAAACTGACTTTAATTTTATAAACTTACTAAAGACAAATTTAATTTATTCTCTAATTAATTATTACCAATAATTTGGTAATTACAAGTATAACAAATAACTGATAATTATCTAACTATAAAAACATAGATCTATGCGGTGCGACCTCTCTACCTACATTTGTACAATAACCTACGCATATTTCAGCGGATGTTAGTGCATTTTCAGTGCGCGTGCACCGAGCGGCTGCATTGCAACACTATCATTATTTACATTGACGGTCGGTATATTAGTCACACAGCTCGCAGCTGGTCGGTGAACTCCATACTCACTTTCTAACTTGTAGGTAATTTGCAATTTTTTCTGCGTCACTAAATAGCCAAGCAAAGGTGTAGTCTTTATTATTTTTACTAATCTTAGATCATATACGAGTAGATGGAGTATGAAGTACCAACAATAGAATTAACATTGAGTCAACTGTCAAATTAGTTGACTTGATTTTTTTTTTTTAAACAGTGTTCTTTTTTTTTCTTCAATGGCAATTGGTCGTTAATTTTACAACCATTCCTTCCAGTGTCATGTATAATATATCATTGTTATTAAATAGTGAAGTATGTACAATAAAGATTTTAAAATAACAACTACTATGTCATCACAAACGTTCCCGCTTTTTTCATTCCAAACTTTTTGTACATTTAATTTTATACTTCTTTATTGTCCCTAGACAGTGTTCTATACAATAAAAAATATATGCCATTTTTCATTGTTGCAAGTATTAAAAAAATAATCCTCATATGAAATGGAGGTAAATTTTTTTCAATATAAAACGACTGTATTATTTTTAATATAACAACAAAATATATAAATAAACTTAAATATTATAGAAGATCAAATAAATAAACAGCAATGATATTTTATGGATTTTATATTACAATAACAAATACATAAAATATCATTATTTATATAAAAAATTGATCTGTTTTCGGCGAAGTATTTCTATGGAGATATTCTTTCAATATTATCTATGTTAAATACGGACAAATAAAAGTGAGTGTTTGTCATCTCCTGGTATCTCAATGGTTCAACGAATCGGCATGAAGTGCTTATGCATTTTATTAAAATGTATAAGTTGTGTATAAATTAATATAACAACACAATGTCAAAAAGAGTGTTTTACCGAAATATAGTTATTTTCATATACGTATGTATACGCATCCATTGTTCAAACATCAATCAAAATTACTGTGTGTGATGGATACTACATTATGTTTGACTTACAGCTACAAGTGTTATATTCTGAACTTGTTTTCAGATCGCGAATTTAAAAGGACTAAAGTATGACGTCTTTTAGAGTTGTAAAAGTTACTAATAAATAAATTGTATTTTGAATATTAGAAGGGCCATATTTGTCGACAGGTTTTTGTAAATAAAAAGCGAAACATTGAGGTCATTTTATTCTTAGGTATTATGGCAATATTTGCGTTTCAAAAAAGATATTATTTTGTTGTCACGAGTCTAAAGTAACTAAAGAATGATACGTTATTCTAATATATGATCGATTGCTTGGGTACCTCTGTCCCATTCGTGTTTCAACCGTGAAGCAGTTGTGTTTGCATAGCTGTGTTTCGGTTTGAAGGGTGGGATATGGCGTGAATTTACTGGGTACAGAGGAATAACACCTGAGTCCTCAGGAATGGCAACGCATGGGGGTATCATGGGCGAAACAGTATACTTTGTTATGTCCATGGTACTGCTCATGTCTATAGGCGACGGTTACCACTTTCCATCAGGTGGGCCGTAAGGTTTGCCATTCTAAGTTCTATAAAAAAAAAAAAAAAAAAAAAAAAAAATGCTTGTTTGGAGTTTCCACTACCGATTTAAGTACAATAAAAAGTGAAACAATGAGGTACGTTTCTTACCAAGTAGCATGGCGATAACTTTGACGTCATTGTATGGTCATTTTACAGTTGT